TGTGTAGTTTGTGTGGCAAAACATACAGTGCAGTTTTCGTTGTGCAACATACGGTGCAGTTTTCGTGGCAAAGCATCATGCAGTCGTGTTCGTCGCAGACGTGATGTGTATACTTCAGTAACAAGAAGCCACTAGTAACAAGGGCATCGCTACTAGTAACAAGGGCATTACTACTAATAGTAGCAAGAAGCTACTAGTAGCCATGCCCTTGTTACTACTATTATGTACTATTTTCTTTTTTTCATGTGTTCTTGGTGCAGGTGCCCTTGTGGGAGGGTGTGGTCCACGTAACCGGGGGAAGGTGAGAGGTGAGAGGTCGGCGGCAGGTCCGGGCGGCAAAGGGGGCGCCGGGAGACAGGGCGGAAGCGCGATGCTGTTTGATGCTTTTGGGCGATCCTGGATGTTCTAGATTTTGATGCATGTTTGTTCCAGATGCATGTGAGAGTTATCGGAGTTTGGCTCCTTCAAATATAGCAAGAGGGGTGCAGCTGCAGGGTGCGGACCTGCCAGATGTTGATGGCAGTGTTTGTTCTTAGTGTCACATAGATTTGTTAATTCAATTATGTGTGTAAATATGTGTTATTTAGCTATATTTTCAGTTATAGAAACAACTTAATTAATTAAGAATAGTAAGCAAACTATTTGTTATGCATGTCCCTCATTATCTGGTTGTGTCATTCTCTTGTGGTCCCCTGCTCCGGTCTCTGGCCTCATTCGGCTCCGCGAAAGCTGATCTTCGGCTCTTGATCTCATTCACTTGCCGTTCCTATATATTCATGTGCTCATCTCCAGGACTGTCCAGGTTTGATGGAATATCCGGACTGCTCATGCCTCCCACATGTGAGCCAAGATGCCAAATCGATCCGCTGACATTCGCACCCAGAACCCGGGCGAACCTTGGCCTGCGGGGATAGCTGGAAGCTTAGTGGCCGGGGAGAGCAGACAGCGGAGACGATTAACAGCGGTCCCCTCTGCAGACACTCGCCGTTTGGTCGGTTTTCGTTGGGTGTTTCATCTCTTCTCATGAGGTTTGCTTCGATGGTCGGTTCGGTCGGAACTCAGAGATGGTGGGGCGTTTACGGGTGTTTCATCTCATTTGGGTCGGTTCTGTTTAGTACAAAAGTGAGTGACACTTTGCTGCTACACTCAGCTGCTCACATCAATCAGCTTTGGGAGAATGTGTAGGTATAAGCATGACCTCATGCCAGCTTCCAGTTTGTCACAGGGATCCAGTCTGTTTGAAGCCTGTTTCACGCCTCAGGGGGGCATGTGGAATGTTTGATCTCCAGTCCTAGGGAATGAGTCGCACATGCAGGTGTTGAGTGGATATTCCAAATTCTTCGTGTAGCATGATGGAACCCATGTGAATCTTCCACTCATGCACTAGGGCTCCAAGTACCTTCGGAGGTACTTGGAGCCCTATAGGGATGGTCTTCCATTCTCGTTTCCGGTGCGACTCGGTTGAACGTCGAACCGCTCGAAGCTGCATCAAAACGGTCGCAGAGGTGGCAACGACGAGCTCATGTTCCGCTGCGACGGGAGCTACGGAGCAGGGAGACACGGTCTGAGGAGACGGTGGTTCCGACGAGCTGCGATGGAGGAAGAAACTGCTATCAGGAATTGGCTTGCACCAGGTGTCAGGCATCATCAATGGCATGAACATTAGCCATCAAGACTAGACTAGCATGCTAGATCTAATATCTTGCTTTGTTTGCATGATTTGAGTTGCCTTTACATGACACGCCAGTGAAGTCGCGAATGCGCCCAACAGTATGTTGCGGGAGTCACCGATGGAGTTTCAGGTAGGAGACTGCCGGTTCCATTTGCCATACCACCCCTTCAAAAAGCGGATCGAAACGCAGCCATGTCGGACCATGTCGGTCGGTTCTTCCCGCTAATGAAGTGAACAAATTGCGATGGGATCAACTGGTAACTTGTACCAAGAACATGATGAACTTGAATATTATAAACACAGATGTACTTGTACTCCTAGTAAACTCTACAACTACCAGAAGGCTTCAGAGACGTCATGCAGATACTATTTGCTGTACGCTTTTGCTCAGAGCAGTTCTTTTCCATGACCTGCGCAGGTGATGGTGGCCAACTCTTTGCCAGAATTGGTGGAGGCGATGACCAAGAACGCCCAGGACAGCGTCCTGGCCAAGGGAAAGACGTGCGGGGCCTGAGATGCGGGCTGCGGGGCTTCAAGAACCATCAGTGTATTGGAAACCATGAGACTGCGTGACCCTCAAAAAGAGAGGACGTTTCCTGCAACCTACTATTTGTAGGGTCATTCTCAAAAAACCCGGTTTTTTGAGTCTCATCAAAAATCCATGTTTGCTGAGAAACCATTATGTCATGTTTACAGACGGTCTTGCCCTTTCCCTTTTCCTTTGCCTGCTTCCCTGCTGGCGTCTTCGTGGCTGACGACGGCCGAATGTGAGCTGCACATCACCATACCATGAGATTAAACACATGTTTCAACATATTTCCATGGAGTATGATGCCGGGATCAAAGACACACATTCAAAGGTTCAGCCCAACTGATCATGAATTAGAAACTTCAAACACTGTCGGCTGGCTGCAAAAGAACGTTGAAGCACTCTGTGAGAAACAGCTCTGGGATTGCAGCGGCGGCTTAACCGCGCTGGCTTCCCAATGAAATCCTCTTGCATCTGTACCGCCATCACTAGTGGGGATAATACCCACTGACTGCGATCAGATTCTTTCAACATTTGTATCCATGTATGGTTCAAATAGTGAAATTTGGGCTGCATGGGAAACCTTTTGCTCCGGCTTCGAAACGCCAGCCATGCCAACTCAGAGTAGACCTGAAGAAACTTGATGCCATTCAAGGCAATTGCCCTGGCTTCCATTCGATCCACCCACACTCCATGGTGGTAAAGGCTGCGAAATGCAGTGTTGATGGCGTTCACTGCAGTTGCCTTACAGGTAGCTGAGGGCATCAACACGTGCATGTCCAATGTCTTACCCGAAAACAGGATAGGGCCTATGACAACCACATCAAAATTTTATTGTGGTCAAGGTGCAATTTTGACCAGCGTTGGGTCATGAACTCTTCCAACAACATGCCGGTCACAAAAGTCTTCAAGAAACATCGCAAGCATTGTGGTTTGATCTCCTTTTGGCCAGTTCCCTTTTGGACAGTTCTGCTGATTTGTGGCAACGCCAAACATCTCAGCAGTCAACTTCTTGTAGTAGGCATGGAATTTCCGTTGCTTGCAAAATGCACTGAACTCATCAGTCAATTTTTCAAAACGCTCCCCCCCAGCTCGATCCAACCAGTAAGCTGTCAATGATAGACACCACTGCGGAAGAAATGAAATACTTTCCAGCTCCCAGATGAAAATTGTGGAACAAATCCATTTGGAAGAACCGCTCACCATTTGGATTGTCCAACTCGCGGGGGATGTCCAAGAATGGTGGCCTGATGGTCCAAGGGCACAACACCTCGACAGTTTGTAACCATGTGGGGTTACTACCAAACTCCTCACATTCCACACGTGGTACCCAATCCTCCTTCCCAGCGCAGCAGGCATGACAAACGCCCACGCCTGCAGTCCTGCTTTGTGCTTTCAACGGTCTATGGTAAAACGACCGGTCAAAGTGGCCTGCCTTGACAAGAAAAGGGCTATCGCCCTTACAAGCCACACAGCATGCCCAAAACTGTTCACTTTCAACTTTGAAGCCGTCATAGAACAAGGACGCATAGTCCTTGGCAAGGGCCTCCATGAGCATGTCAAAAGCCTGTGGAGTTTCCTTGTAGACGGCTACAGGCATCAAAAAATGAATGAAATGTGTAAGGAACGCGTTTCCCACCATGTTCAGCTTCATCGGGTCATCCACTCCGCCAACCACAGTTGGATTCAGCTTACCTGGATCTGTCATCCGGCAGCCGTTACCCAACAAACCATGGGTAGACGATATCATGACTTGCAGCTTTTTGTAGCCACGACCCTCGTCGCCGTGATGCAGCAGAGGCAATGTCCTGGAGCAATCCAACAATCCTTGCTGTTCTCTCTGATATATTTCGTGGGTTGGAGCCACTGAGCGATAGCGATCCCAAAACTCGCGCAGCAAGGGCTGTACTTCTGACAGCTTCTGTGATCCAACCACTAAGTTCAATCTATCAGTCTCTGCTAAGTACTTCATCCAATCGCTGCATTTGACGAAAGGAAACCGCTTCTTCGATGGCAAATCGATCCTGCTGATCTTCACTGGCAAAGCTTGACCAAACTCTCTAAAGACACGATGTGCTCCATTCTCTGAATGGTGCATATTCACATTTGCTAGCGCTTGCATCCCCTTGCTCTTCACTCTGGTCACTCTGGCTTGGCGAATCACATCTCGACAGGAGACCTTGGGCCGGCGAAGAAAATCATGAACGAAAAGTTCATCAAAAGAGGGGGGAGATGGTGGAGGGTCAACTGAATATGCTCAAAACGATCTTCCCTGGTCGGTTCAGCTGCTGGTAACAAAGCGCGAGCATGCAAGCCTTTTGAGAGCGTGTTTGATGCACAGTAGCAGGACAGCGTTTGTTGCCTGCCCAGACGAGTGAATTACATCGGCAAACATGTTTGAATTTCACCAAGCGCTTCCAGAAAAAAGCACAAACTAGTAAATTGGTTTTCTCCCATCGGCACGGGCTCCAACAATGTAAACAAAATGGAGATCCTCATTGTTGGAAGTTGGCCCATCACCTCCAAAGCGTTCATTTCGGCAGCCGGCTTCACCCATGTGTTTGGATATCAACGCGGCTTCCAACATTTGAGCAAGGCCCATGTTGTCAGTAACATGGACCAAACTCATCTTGGTGTAGTTTCCCAAGGCATAGAAATGAAATCTCAACAGCGGATTTGTTGTCAATCCAATCTTGTATACACACACAGCTTTATTCATTTGACATCTAAAGCACTCTACTTGGGTGAGACATCTTTGCAAGATGGTCCCAGCCGTGCTCTTCTTGCGCCTGGTCTCATCTAAATATGAAACCCTCAGACCATATCTAGTGAAAAGTTGTTCCTTTTCGAAAAGGCTTTTGCAGCTAGAGTACACATCTCTAAGATGGTCAGGGTCACAACTTGCCATTGTGAAGCCATGGCAGTCAGCAGGCCCACCGTCCTTCGCAACAACCTGAGATGAAAGGGCTAGGGAATGCTACGGATTTAGGGCTTTCATGGCAAAGGGCCAAGGACCTTAACATAATAAGATGCTTTCTAAGTAACCGACAGGTACAGTGCAATAAAACAGATGAGAACCGGTCAGTCAAGCCACTTCCCACCTTTCTTCCCTCCGTGGCAGGCACAGCGCACTAGATCTGATTTTGTGAAATCCTTCAACACGTTGACGTGTTTGTGTCCTAGAAGAGCTGATAGGCCTCAGGCTGTTGGTTTTACTTCAATTGCAAAACATGTTGTTTTAATCTATACTTGAAGCTTCAACAGCACAAGAGGGAGACACGTACAACATGGGTGGACTAAATTCCATGTTCATATAAATCAAGTCACAAACATGGAGGGCAGCGTTGTTGACCAGTCACGGGGCAGGTGTAGGTAAGGAGATCTCGTAGTTCATCTTCTATTGTTTGATCAAAGTCGCTGCTGGCTTTCCGCTTGCAACCATAGCCCATGATCCATGCAGGGAAACAACCATACGAATTAAATTGATCTGTAAACATGCAGCAGCATGTCGATCCACATATGTCAATGTTGCACGTGTGTCTTCAACTACAAATTGGAGTATGCGCATCTTGCTGGATCTATCCCTTCTTGGACCCCAGACGCCATTGCCAACCATCCTGGCTAGCCCATCTAGCTCAGGTTCTGGACCACCACCTGGCGCTGGCAAGAAGAGAGCAGGAGCTATTAACCAAGGGGGGGAGCTTGGAGGTGGCTGGTGTGGGGGAAGATGTCACGAGAAGCTTGCGTAGCAATCAATGTTTTTTTCCACGGGGGTTCAGTGGCCTGTATCATGGCCCAACATCTAACGGCTTGCAAGTGAGACATGCGAATCAAAGCACCTACAAATGCTGTTGATCACATGTGAGTCAAATTATTGAGACCCCATGTGCATAGCACCCTCTCTATAGTCGCTTGGACTTGGAGGGAAAAGCAAATTTGGACATACATCTAGTGCCCAGAAATTTCCGATCACGTGAAATCCACGGGCATCGAAAAAAGACCCAGTACACAACTCAAGCTCCAGCTTCAGCTTCCTTCTTGGCACGTTCCTGCTTCTTCAAGGCCCTTTCCAAAGACCTAAGATAGACCAGTAAACGTGGTACATGCATTGTTCATGTAGGTTACGCCCTATAGTGCCATGACATCATGAAGCATGCATATGCATGCAACTTGTTTATTGTTTTTTAGAGCTCCAGTTTCAGGCAGGAAAAGTATATGCCATGTGCAACTCTCGATAGGACCTGACTATGCATGCACTTGCCGACGAGATTCACAGCCTGCGCCTCAACCGTTTGCAACTGAGCAGACCTCAGATAAAGATTGACCCCATGCATATGGTTTTCTACCTTTTTTTTGTACAAACATCGGTGCCCAAACACAGGATTCAATAGCGAATCCCATCAACAGGATCTGTCCAAGTGGAATTGAAGATTTCAACCCCTGTTGGCCCCTAGTGCAAACAAAGCTCGCTTGCATAGCAGCCCGCATGAGACCGGTGATCTTCTGCCTTTGCCTTGCACGCGCACTAAAGAATATTGATATAACTGCGGTTCAGCAGCATGGTGTTTTTATGATATCAATGTGTTGAAATCGATGTACTGCAATGCCGCTATGATGCTCTTCCGAACGTTCCTTCACACCTGTCAGCTCCATGCGGCAGGCGACAAAGTTGTCGTAGGTGAGTTGGGCCTTCTCAAGCTTCATTTCCACGGCCTTGATGGACCTAGAACACACAATTCCAACCAGTTGTTGCTACATGCATACCGTAGATGCAAGTTGCATATGTGCATGTGCGTATACGTGCGTGCATGCATGATTCATCTCAGACCATGCTGCATGCAGTCAATAGATCCCAGGATCATTTTGCTGAGGCACTTGGCGACGCGACAATCTGATGAGCCTTTGGAGTGAGGATCCAGGCGGGACATGAGGTCGGTCACTTTGGACAACTTCTTCAACATGTTATCCTCAAACTCCTTCTCAGTCTTGCGGACCTGGGTTTGGGCACAAATACATGTTAAAGTATACTTGCATGTTCATGAAGGGGGGTGGAAGTGGCAAGCACTGTCACAGGACCATGCCACGTACTATATTCATGGAGTTATATACATAGTATCGGCCGGGTAAATCTAGCCCTAACATCATGGCACAAACGCTGACTGAGACAACTTTCAAGAAACAGCGTCCAGTGAAGACATATCCTCCACTGGTTCTTCATCATCTCCTTCAACAGCCAAGAACCCCAAGGGCAAAAAATCACCTTTGAGTCGTAGTTGGCGATCTCCATGGACCTACGGCAATTGTTATAGATCATATCATCTCTCATCGGCATGCAGACCTTGAGAGTTTATATTCAGTATATCCATGACTTATTCCACAAGACATAGCTTCAAGTATCCAGCCTTCGCTGTCTGCGTATGGGTTTCAGTCTCTGTCACGCTGCGCTTGTTGCTGGATTGGTCTTTGAAGTCGACATAATACTTGTCCATCTTGTCAGAATATTTGTCCTTCCTAAGGCGAATCACACGAAGGGACAATGTATTGTGTTCTTCACATCTTTGTTTGGGATTGTTTGGGAACTTGCATACGATTACCAAAAATAATTGACGTGTGCTCTTGATGCAGTTAAGGATCTTGACAAGAGCTGGCCTTTTTTTTGCAAAAGGCAATAACGTCTGCAATGTACTTCCTTACACGCATTGGGTCAAGAATAATGAAAGTCAAAAGGGAAGCAAAAAGCTGTAGGGACATTGTTTTAGGTTCAGTGTTCATGTGGTGAAACTTGAAGACGAGTATCTTGCCCCATCCCAAAGTGTTAGCCATTTCCTCTACGTTGAACCACCCAGAAGTCACCTCCTGCTCCTTGCTGTGCTTTCGTTCCAAGCACTTGGTCACGGTGTTAATGAAAAGGTCCTGGAGGCGGAAGATTGGGTTCATGTGGGTTTGGGAAAGTCTCCTGGTGGAAGTGTTAGAATGGACATGAGCACAGATTTCATCACACTGTTCTTTGAATGGCATTGTGTCCCTCAGGGAATGGTTTCACCCTATTGTTAAATATGCAAATGGCCAAGTGATATCGCGTAAAGCAGACCATATGCATGGGCACAGCAGTCCTTCTTTTCACCAACCTCTTGAAACAAAGTCGAAAGCTCATCCCTCTGAGCGCCGCCTGCTGCCCACATGTCGTGAATCTCCTTGGGTACGTGGCATTTGCCACTAGGCTTCACTTCGCATAGCCGTCGCAGTCGAGCGTTTCTCGCTTCCTCAATCAAAAGAAGAGACCAGCTAGCTTACCTGTGTTCACCCCACGCATGCCACAGGCTCTTTGCTAGCTGTTATATGCTATGTGTCCATCTTATATATTTCATGATCGCACCTCATGAGAACCTTAGTTGCCTTAATTCAAAAAAGGTTCTTCCGACCCTGACTTCTCATCGGCACTGGAAGGTGTTGCCGATGCACTGCTGCTTGGAGCTGTGGGCGATCTTGCTTTGGGCCGGGCTGGGGGTGTGGAGTTCACATGCGCAGCTGGGTCAGCCGGGGCAGCTGGGGTGGATCCCATATTCTGCTTCAGCTGGGAAATCACCTTCATGGCCTCCGCTAACTGCTTTTGAAGTTCAGTTACATCGGCTACATTATTTTCCTCCTGGGCAACGACCAAGGTTATCCGAAGCACAAAGCTACAGTGATCATGGTAGTTCTTTTGACGTGTTTACTCAAGACTGTAGGCAATGTCTCCTGCGCTGGCGGGGGAGGAGCTGCCTTGCTCTTAGCAGCCGTGGGGCTTGCCCTTTGACGCACACCCTGACAAACCATGACATGCATAGACGACCATCGTAGCCATGATGCAAATCAAAAATCAACTCAATGACATTCAACAACCCATTTGGTCGATTGTTGTTCATGTTTCTTTGTCACATGCATGGTATGCATGCTGGCAAACCAGTGATCTAGCTTGTATAGCGATCATCGAATAAAGAATCAATGCACTTGAATATTTTTATCTTAGTTAATTGTTGAAGCACCCTGGCCTTCAACCGCTAGCTCCAACACAAAATTGAGACAAATGCATATATGTGCAGCACATGTTTGAGACTGCCCTAGCTTCTTTAGATCAAAGCAACCCCAACTATTAGCCTGCTCCGGAGGCACTGCACCACGTGTTCGCTTCGACGGGGCAGCAGGTGCTGCAGCAGGAGACGCGCTGCGTTTCCGCGACTCCTCCAACTCAGCCTCCGTTGCCTCAGATGTTTGGAACCCTCCCTGAAAAGCAACAGCAATGCTTTAAATTGGGGCCAGCTCTACACTCATCTTTGAGAATATAGTATATGTCAATAGGGATGGGGTCCCAGTATAGTCGCTATACAGGTACATGCCATATACTTTTGGCTCAAGTGCCCAACCAGGTAAAAAGGAGCTTTAGCGCGCGAGCTTCATGTTGACCTAAGAGCTAGAACGGGGCCAGGGCACACCTTTCCATCCGTTCGCAGGTTATCAGCCGTATCCAGACTCCTCTGAGCTGGGTTCGAGCTGCGGCCTTACAAAACACCATCTAAACGCACACGCATCGGATAGATCAGTTACCCTCAGTCACTCAAGATGGACCAATCCGACGCCAGCACTGCATCTTTTGGGGCAGCTGCTGCGGCCGCAGATCGGTTGAGTGCATCACACAACTCTAGTCCAGGTACGATCGAAGTGGAGACTCTGACAGCGGTGAGAGAAGGTGCGACAGGTAGAGCACGAAGTCGTTCCCCGTCAACGCACTCGACACCACCGTGGGGGACACCGAGGTCAGACCGTAGCACTAGGGAGACAAGGAGGAGGACTGACACCGGAGCTGTGAGAGTGTTAGCATTGCAGGATGGGTCAGCTGTACCAGTGCCGTCGGACAGCGAAGCTGGAGATCGAGCAAGGGCAAGCACTGACAACCTGCAACTAGCACGGGCCGATGGAGACCTGAATGCGAAATGTGCGCAACTACTTGCCGAAGTGCATATGTTGAACCACCAAAACGCATGGATGGTCGAATGTGAGCAGAGACAGAACCAGATTA